GAACGCACTCGTTTTTGCGCTGACTCGGCCCGAAATGCAGGTGCCACCAGCGCCGCCGCAAGCTGCTAACCGACGAACATTCCACGGCAGTCCCCTTATTGAGACCGATCGTTCGGCGCCTGCAATGGCAGTGTACTTGCTCGGAATGCAATTTTTTTTCACCTACCTTCAGTTGTACGGCTGGCCTCGATGGCTGTCAGACCTGGAAATTCTTTTGGATAGTCTAGCTGACAGAGAAGGTGGTGCAAGTGATACATATACGTTCATCGTTCCCGAGGGGCCGCAATGTTTCAGTCATATGTTTCTCTTTTCGGACATATGGAGGTAGGTGACCATTTTCATTGGAAGTCGTTGTTTCTTGCCTGGTTGTGCAGATGCCTTGCCCTCGTGTTCACATTCACTATTTTGAGTGCGTACATAAAATGTGTTTTTGCGCAAGACGGCAGTAAAACTTCAGAGTGTCAACCCTGTTCACTCCATGAAATGTCCAAATTTGATTCGCGTTGTCTTTTGCAGAACATTTGACCAGGGCCTCTACAACTTTCTTAAATGGTGAGTATTTCGTTTCGGTTACTGGTGATTCTTGTGAATCCTTTGTTAATTTGTTTACTTGTTCTTCGGACCAGGTATATCTATCTTCCTTGGTTGAAACCCTCGAAGAAGGAGTCGAATTGTCCAAACTCTACTTCTGTCGTTTGTCGACGTCTGTTGGCTGGAGTTCTCGTCTTTCTGTTCGTGCTCGTCTTTCATTCAATGACCAAGGAGAACAGTAAGGCCTTAGTTTATTCCACCTTGTTGAACTTCAGGAAAATCGCGTTTGTGCAAATCGACCATCAGGCTACAGATCTTTATTTTGATTTTTACTTTCAACGCTCGTGCACTGCGGATTGTTGCTCAAATTAAAAATGCACGCAATAACTGTGTCTCGTCGGAAAATTTCCAAGGTTTAATATGGTCCTAAACAACGTGTCGACAATTGATAAGACGTGTTAAGCACTTATTGAATACACCAAAGGTGGTGCTTACGTGGGTTAGTCTGGATTCTTGTTCTAGTGATGAGTTTGCCGCAGACAAATCGTCTTGTCACGTGTGTCCTCGAGTGTCATTTCGAAGAAGCGTTGACTCTTCTTGTTTGGTTCAATTTTTTTTGTTCTAGCAATTTGGATACTTGTGAATATCGCTCAGATCTTCATTGAACAGGCCACAAAATGGGTCTACCGAAGTACCCGAATCGGTGAAATTTTGGTAATTCTTGTGCTACTTGCTTAGAGATGGTCTGTCTAGTGCAGAGGCGTTGAAATTGACTACGTGGCTGTCTAGTCGGATTGATTGGGATTAGACCGAAATACATTTTCTGTGATTGCCTATAAGCGTAACGGATTAAAATGACAAACAGCCAGCTGGAGGAGAGAAACGCGCTAGTTTGTAAATCAACTTGCTTTTTTTTCCAGCGGAAAAACCTCTCGATCGGCGCCAGCCGGCGATTGGCTGGCGTTGTGTGCGGCATCAGCGCAATGTTCTCCTCGGTTGGGTTCTTCTTCTTCCACCTCGGCCTACACCCGGGATGGTGGATTTTGTATCTGATGTTTTTTGATCCTGGTGAGCGATTGGAGGAGTTGCATGAGGTGAAATGCTCGTCACTTGCGCTAAGGTCGTCGGTGAAATGCAGTGTATTTGCAGCGCACCTTCACTCACACCTACTCCCAACCCAGTTCACTCTCAAACGTATCTCGACCACGTACTGTTTTAATGGAATGTGGTTCACTGCTCTGCCACATGTGTGTGGCTGGGATCTTGTGCGTCATTTAAATTCACACTTTTTACGTGCCTCAGCACTTGACGAGTGTAAAACGGTCACAAGTGGATTTTAAACGTGCTACTGCTAGCTACTCAGTAGGAACATCGTAATATACAAATTCTCATGGAAGATATTTGTTGAGATTGAAAGTCGTAAGCTCCAATTGTGTCTCAATGCTTACATTTTTTCCATTCTTTGTCGTTTTAGTTTATCGTCCGATTTGTTTGTTGATATTTTACTGCGCATATCAAATAGCAGTCGACGTTCGAAAGTGATGCTGCCACTCCGCCAACTGTGGCTGCCACAAGTAAAGTTTCCAGGTTGCCGTCACTCTGCTTTCCTCTGCGGTACACGCTTAAAAATTGCATGTTTGCCTAAAGAACCAGTCAAGGCAGCTGCAGCTTGACTGGTCGAATCTTCTGGACTGTGTATATTTTATGACTGCGAATTTTATAATTCTTGTGAACATTACAACGCAACGTTTACCTACTTTAATCCCGTTGACTCGAATATGGTTCCCTAAATAACCACGAAAGCTTTCTTTGTATCTTGTGATCTCACCTGATCTCTACCAATTAAGTTGTCTTTTCGCATACATTTGAGATCTAAAATCAGTGGCAATCAGAGCACAGTTGGGTGGAACCACTTGGTAAATGCCTGAGCACCTCAGTGTCTCAGGTCTGTTGCATTACCCTGGGATATCGGCGTGTCTCTGCGTACGTGGACGAGTTGTGTGACACGAATCCTCATTATGGTCTAAAGAGCTGGCGACTCCGACTTGATAGCCAGGCACAATGTGCATCCACAGCTGTGGTGCACTAGTAGTATCTTGCTTGCACGACTATTTTAACCCCGCCGAGAGCGTAGGCCTTGGGACACTGTAAGAGCTAGAAAAGTATTGATCCGATTTAGCAAAGCGGACAGGGGATCAATCATAATGGGAGAAAGGGAAAGTGAGGGATCACATGGTGTGTTCCCCGTTTCTTGACTATGAGGAAGGAACAGTGCCATCATCCGAGTAAGCAACATTGTAAAGTATATTTGGTGCTTTTTACCACCTTAAGAGAGCCCTCATGGGCTGGGTGACACTACCGCCACGTACAATGGCGTAAGATGAGGTACATTTGACCGGGTAAGTGGCTATCATGAGAACCTACTTCTGGGGTGAAAAAAATGTCCTTCAAAAGCCACTTTAACTGCCCGATGCACGATGATGAAGGGACTTCATTATTGTTGCCAGAAATTGTGAACATTACACCAGTCAGGCGTAGAGTTTTACCAAAACCGATTTCTGCAACAGCATCAAATGGATAATAGAACATTGGTTCATCCATGTCAAGAGGGTACATCCAGAGATATCGTACGACTTGAGCACTCATAAAAATCAATTTGAAGTCCATTGATCCTGCCGCCTAGGTGAGTGTGCCCAACGTCTGCAGAAAGCCAGCCAGTTGTTTCGCACAACTTTGTTTTTTTTTCTGATGCTTTTGTTTGTTCGCGACTCAATGTTTTCACCACAATGATTGGCACTGTACATACGCACAAGAATTTAGGATCTGTGTCCCAAGCTGATTGGCTGGAAACGGGTTTTAAATGAGACTCAAAACTATCATTGGCAGCATTTTACGACAAATGGAGCTAATTTTTGTGTTGTGGCTGATTTTGCATGAAGGCCGAGCCGCAAACTTTTTCATCTCAAGCGCCCAATTGTTGCAGTATAACACGTGCAAACGTCTAAGGTGAGTCATTTTATTAACATTTTTATTTCGACTGTTAAAACATCTTTACGCAATACCGTATTCTGTGATTCTAACCAGTAGTTCTTTTGATACTGGATCTGGGGTACTCGATGTGACACAAGCGTGGCTTTTCTAGGTGTACGTCAACGCTGACACTTGACTGAGTTAGGAAAATATCGAGAAGAACAGAGCAATGCTAAAGCACACATAAACATAGATGCGCAGGTTTTGCCTAAACTGCCATCATATGTTTCCTGTTCTCTAATCTGATTTTAGATCTTCTGAAAACCCCGTTTCATTTAAAGGCTGCGTGCCGTGCAGACCAGGCATTACCTGCGGAACTCCGTGTACGTAGTTTGAACCTTTGTGGAATATGGTGTTAATCTCCGATATATTAATTAATAAGATAAAGAAATGTTTTAAGTGGTGCACTGTGCTAATTTGAAGAGCAACGTCGTGATGATTTCGTGTTAACCCACATGTCAAAGGAGTAAAAGATGTTCACTATCGATCGGTCACCATTTGTGGGCTCAAAGGAGGTGACGTTTACGTGCATTTTAAACCATTTGAATGCTGTTAAGTACAATTTACACTTTTGAAAATGACATAATGCACAACAATGCCTTTAAACCTCTTATATCGACGAAATGCACTTAGTGTTGTTTCGTTGGCGTGTGTGCGGTTGAATCGGTGCAATGAATGTTGGCCTTGAGATCAAATGCAGTTTTCCTAAAACATTTTGTGAAAGGTAGGACTGGGTCACTAAATTCCCATGTTATGGAGTGTCGCGAAAATAGCGACTTACGTAAAAAATCATGATTAGGGATGCTGTAGAGAAAGACGATATGCGAACAATGAACAAATTGAAATTGTGATTATCGGATGGGCTTACTTTGATTAATCGCTGCCGGTGACTAAAGCACACAAGGGATATGATCTCACTCCTGACACAATGAAATTTCTGGTAACTAAAAGAGCTGTCGTTCCATGGTTTTACCGATCTTCCACGTTTGACTTCATGCGGCATAGTCGTGCCCTTCAAACTTGCTCAATCAGGTTGTGTTTGCTACACAGGCCAAAAAGAACATCTGCGGAGCTGAACCATTATAAGAAAATGTTTATCATTTCTGCATTAGATAATAATCCGCCAGAATTCACAGCCTCAGAATATTTAGCGAGGCCACGTCTGCACGATTATACACAGAAGGTAGCTCAGCTCATCGCCACTGACAAGGATCTTTGTGTCTCGCCGAATTACCCTCCCGCTGGTTGTCAGAGCGTGGAGTACCTCATTACCTATGCTGGAACTGAGAAACCTTTCTTCGTGATCAACCACAAAGGAGAAATTTACTTCAATTCAAATGCTGATTTTAAAGTCTGGAAGTCCATCGGACGGGCGTCGTTTACTGTGGTGGCGAGAAACTACGGCGAATTCAAAAAGGCGAATGGATCAACGCGGGTGATAGTGTTGAATGGACCTCCATATGGTTTATTTGAAGTACCGTCAAACGTAAGTGCAGCAGTCTGATATATGAGAAACCATGTGCTGCTATGACTGCTAGTAATTCGTCGAAAATGATAATAAGAGCTCGGTAGTCTATTGTGTCCAGACAGATTAAGAATTAGGTCCAAATCACAACACTGTGAATGCCAATCCATGAGATGCACGTCTAAGAAACGAAATCAGATAAACGCCAGAGGCCGTAGTGCAGCGTCGAATAGTAATTTAGCCTTATCATTTAAAACATTGAAGTAGTTCACAAGGTGCATTTCGTCCGAGATCTTGGTTAAGCTGCAGAAGTGTTCTCTCCCAATCAAAGGCACTAGATGCTGACAGCAATCAGTCACAGGATTGCACATTGTCGATGCAACCGCTAATGACCGTCAAACCTCCTGATTTGATAATGGCTCTCTCCAAATTTGGAACGAAGTTCACCATCCAACTATGTCTTCCGGTGGACTACACTCTGAATGGTATTCTGCGAATACAAGGACCCTTTAAGATGAAAGAAGCTATCAGAGGCGGCTCTGTTCACATAGTTGGGGTGACCTACGCAAGCCCCGGGTTCGATCTCAATGACGCTGATCTGGTAGTCACTGAATTCTCTGACGTAAGCACATGTCAGTATTAAATCCTGTTTGTTGTTGAAGTGGTAATTCTTGATTAGGGTGAGTAGACAGGTTGGTTCTATTTGGAGATCGTAGGATGACAGTTTGTTAACAAACTGCAGGCTGACACTCACTCCATTTGGCTTACTGTTGGAACATGTAAACATAAGTTGTCCAGATGAGTCAAATCAAATGGAGATCAAATGCTTGCTGAGTGCTGCGTCTTAGTTAATTATGTTTACGTTGAATGTGTGGAATTCATAAAAGAATTTGCCCGATATGTGAAGGGTAACTTGCCTCGACGTTATCAGTTTTAGACCATGTAGTTGTACAAAATGCGGAATTTAGTAGTCGAATATGCTGACTTCTACATAAGCTACATTTTCTGAATTTATGGATTACAAAATATGCAGCAAATTTGCATTTATTTATAGACGCACATTGAGATGGCACTAGATTACGTAGTTGCTTTCAGCTTCGAAACGATCAAGAGATGCCACTGCTTAGACATCCTTGTAGTGGCAATTTCACCCCCAATACCGTCTTCGTCGGTGTTTGTCGACAGCTATTTCGACGTCCAGTTATACTCGAAGACTGCTGAGACCCAGTCAATGGAGGTACACTTTAGAATTTCTGGACACGATCCTCAAATTCTCCCCAGTTTTCTGCTGAAGACATTTCTAGCAGCACTCAGCTCACTTCGGGCACTACAAACATGCTGATATTGGCTCTACGAACACTCCATGCCGGTGTTATTAAAGTAAGCCGGTTTGTACAACTACATATGGCTGTAATGCCTACTGATTTTGCACCATGATTTTACTTAAATGTGCCTAAATTAAGTCTCATTCGTATCTACCAAACCTCATAGCTGTTCGAAACTATAAGTGGCTATCATCGCAGCAGTCACCCGATCCTCCTTCACTCCGGAATGAAACGTGGCCTTGTCATTTCCCCAAATAGGTTGTCTTTTAGCAGTCGCTTACGATGTGTGAGTGAGTGTTGGCGCGGGTTTCATATAATCTAGTGCTTATTTGCCTGATTACTCTAGGTTAACAAAGAAATCTAGTGTTTGTTTTAATCTTGTTTTTGAATTTCAAGAGCTTTAAAATTGGGAATTGATAAATTGTATAATTAGTGTTGAAATGGCATTTTAGGTTACCATAACACTGAACAGCACGCTTATTGAGGTAGGACAAATTAAAACAACTTTTCCAATTGGGCAAGGAACTGAGCCCTTGGAAAACGCGACATCAACGGATCAGTCAAGCACGATTCTCGAGCTGTCCTTCGAAGTTGGCGATAACTTCCGTAAGCTCAATTCGATGCTCTTTTGTACAGGTGTGACTTACACAATTACTACCATGATTTAAAAATGGTAACTGCGATTCCTTTGAAAGTGATTTCGAAATTATTTCGAAACTAATGTCGTGTAGCGTTGCCTGAGAATATAAGGTGCACACGTTTCTGTAAAGAATTGCTTCAAGTCCTTTTGTTTGCAAATAGGGGACAATGCTTGTGTCTAGCTATCTAACTCACCTTAAACTGTTGAAACTACATTTAACATTATCGGAAATATCTTGAACGACCCCATTTATTGGATAGTAAGTTTATATTCAAATACAGTCAATTTGAGAAGTCAATCATTGTTATTTGCTGGAATCGATGTGATTTGTATTTTCAATTTGTTGATAAGGTGAAAGGAGCTCTGAATGAGGAGATTCATCAGCAGAGTAAATTTCCGTGAATATGTCGACGCGAGTTAATGAACGACATAAAATCGTCTTACGTAAAGCTGACTCTACATTATCGATGTCTGTGTGACTAGACTTTTCATTCAGGGACCTCACCATGCCAGACAAATTTGCGATATTTATGGCGAAACACTCAACGCGTGCTGATACCAACGCCCTTGTGTGTAGTTAGTCGTGTCACGAGGGACCTGAAATATCCAACGACAAAGGGCTTCAACAAAGAAGCACTGGCGCAGGTTTTCTCGAAGAAATGTCATGAACTATTCTATGATCATATGCAGATGATGTAAGACATAATCTCTGTTGTGATCAAAAATCAGAGCTTACAACGTTCCAACAAAGTGCTCCTGACCAAATGTGTAGGCTTCGAAGCAAGGAGCCTTACAAAAAGTTCAAAGCAATGTGGATTGAATAGCAAATCAGTCATTGACGGAAACCAGGATGGTGCATTTGTTGGCATATTGTAAAGCCGTAGAACGTCAAAAGAAGAAGGGTGGGTAAGAGTGTAACAGTTTTGTGAGAGGAGAGAAAAGTTGTTAAAAGTTGTGGTCAAGGCCATTCAGACAAATTAATTGGTCAAAGACTTGATTTAAAAATGACAAACATTCTCAAGTCGGATTTGTGGAGCTTTGATGAATCTACCTGACTCTGTGTTTGTTTATTTTCTAACAGTCGCGCTTGTTCCACACTCCCCACTGCAAGAAACTTCGCTTATATTTGAAATCGACATTTTCGTTCCCGTTGCGCTTGCCGAAAACCTGAAATGCCAGTTTCAAGTGAAGAACATCAGTGGTTCTAATGAAGCTTCAATTGAAACAATCTACAAGATTTACAAAATCGTCAGTTCCTTTTTTGTCTTTCATTAATGCTTATGTTTAATAACATAGGTTGCACTATTTGTGTCTAGAAGCATCAGAACAAAACTTCAAATGATTTTGTGAGACTTGCAACACATTTTGTAATAGCAAATAGCTCGTAAAGTTAAGAATGAAGTTCATTAGTGATTTGGTTTTGATGAAATAGAATTATTTTAGACTATTCTACCTGCATCAATGAAACTTGTGTTGTACCGACTATGTAAATGGACCTTCAAAAATGTTTTCCCTTTGGATATGACGAGCAGTGTACAATAGGGGAAATTTCGTTTACTAGAATTTTAAAGTGGATGCAGATAATTTAAAATGTACATAAACCGCTTAGTAATTTGCCTTGACCAAAACATTCGTGTGACTTCAAATCCCTTTTTAGTTTGACGTTTCGTTCAGTGTGCAGGGACTTGAGGCTGTGTCGGAGGCAGCAACTCAGATCCTGGAAATTTCCGTCATCACATCTGTTGTCACATCCTTAACCATCACGTTTCAACTAACCTCCGATGCCTTCTTTGAAGGCGTCTATCCTTTGC